TTTTTTTTTTTTTTTTTAGCATGTTGGAAACCAGTATAAAGGAATTCTGAATTAGCTCACTTGGCTGGATTCATAGCATAGAGCAATCCATAAACTTAACTATTTGATGATGAGTTGTGCTGGATGTGATGAGAGGCATTGATTTAATTTGGTTGTGTTGTCTGAGTCTATGCCACTTAGAACCTGTCAGACCGAAGCAACATACATTTCACAGTAATAAATAAACTATAATGTTAACCATAAACTTAACTACAGGTCTGGGTTCACCCCAGGGGCGTCTGCGTTGCAGGTAAAAAAAGGATGGGAATTTGATCCTGTGTTTGCAGCTGCCATCCTGACATTTTGACCTTCCCTGTGGACACCCCTGGGTCTCCCAGCACTCTGAGCCCTAAACGAGCTGAGCACAGGTTAGCTTTGTATTGCAAACCCAGCCATCACTAAGCAAATCATTTCTCTGAAATCTGATTTTGCAAAGTGGCATTAGGTACTGGTCAGGCTTTGTAGTCTATAGCTTTGCAGAAGTTCTCCAGAACTCTTAACCGAACTGCTTACAAATGCCAGGAACTGGCTAGGAGTTTTTTCATGCAAAGCCGGGGGGGGCTCTAATGAATCACATTTCATTGCAAAGCCAGAAATTTGGGGAAAGAAGAGGCATGCTTTATCACGGGCCATGCAATCGGCCAGACTTAAAAATTCAAGAATATGTTTGAATGCCTTAACAGCACAGTAATATTGGCCTCATTTATTTGTTCCTGTTATAAGCCACTTCAGGCATACAAGCGACTCTAACTGACATACGATGTCTTCAGACAATAAAACAAGCAAAAAAATAGCTATAAACAACAGTCTGTATATGTGTTACTATATCAGGGAGAGGAACACCAAGAACCAAGGAATAAAATCTCATTATCAATGTGGGGTCATAAAACTCACCTTGTTGCTGAAACACCAATATTTTAAGGGCTATTCGAATAACAACACGGAGCCATGCAGACTTTTTTTGGGGGGGTGGGGGCTGTTATATTATCTTACAGGGCAGGGTCACCATGAAAAAGCTTCATCTGCAAGGTCCCACAAGGTGACATAATTTTAACAATGGGGCTTTAGTTTATTTTAAGCAGATTACAACGCTGTGCCTCATGATATGGTTATCACTGTTGGAAGCGGGGACAATGCTACATATTGCTTCTGCTATTTTCTTAGATGTTCTCAAATAAAAAGAGAAGGAAGCTGGATATTCAGGAAAATTGTAAAATATGCCCAGGTTAGGGGTGATGGTGGCTTCTTTCGAGAATGCTGCTTTTCTCAGGCCAGTGACTCCTGCAGTTGTCCAGAAACGGCGGAGTGAGCCGCCCAGATCATTGGAAGACCTTCCCCTTTTATAGATTACAAGTGGGTACAAAGACAATCTCAGTGTGCTTTTTGGTGGATCAGCCAGGATTTCTTATTCCCAATTGTGTAACCATGGCAGCCTGCCTAAAATAAACTGCTGAAATTTTGAATGCTTGCAATTTGGCAGAAGTGGATTTTTATTAGAGGTGCACTCACTGTTTCACATTCACAACACTGGGAGCCAGATACCTTGGAAATCGGTGACATTTTGCCCACCCTTAATTTATATTGCAGTTCTGTGGCTCCTAAGAACGTGGGAATTGCCTTGCAGATGGATTCAGCCAAGAGCCACATTCTGACCAATCTAGTCACCAAGCAGGAAGTTCACATACATGGACAAGAAAGTGATAGTTTTGTTTAGCGACTGGCATTTATGATGTATTAACGGGACAGATTGTCACGGAGAAAAATCTATGTGGTCCCTAAGAGTCAACACCGACTTAATGGCACATAATCAGTCCATCAACCCCTGATTCAGGAACTTGTAAACAACCCTCAAAACGAGAAGCCTTGGTGACTTACTCTCCATTAATTTATCTAGTCCTCTTTAACCATCCAACTAAGAGTTTACCACCGGCTCTGAGGGCAGCCAGTTCCATAATTTAAATACATGTTGTGTTAAAAAAAAAAAGTTTCCTTTTATTGGTCTAAAAAAAGCACTCTTTGTTCTATCTCAGTGGAACTGAAATTATTTAATTCCAAGTATGTTTTGGGAAATCTCAGAGTCTTAGTTAAAATGTAAATGAGGAAGCAAAACAGTTTCCCTACATTGTCCTTCCTCTGGCTTTATGGTGAAACGGAAGTCCCATAGATGGGGAGTGGAGGACTCTCTACCTTTTCTTGTATTGTTTAATTTGGGCTTTCCCTCGCCTTGTTCCACAGACGATGGCATTAGTCCAGAACGAGTTGCACAGGTCATGGGCCTTCCTGATCGATGCCAGCACGCGGGTCACATCATCAATGAGCTTATTCTCACGGCACAGGTAAGTAAGGATGAGCACCATCAAGCTTAGGGACACCGCGGGGCAAAGCCCAGCACTCACCTTTAAGCTGCTCTTGACTGAGATTGAATTTGTCTTCTAATGGGGGAGGGGTGCAGTGCTAAACCACGGCACTGTTTGGCCAAAAGAATGGACCTGACCTGATGGCCATGGGACTCCGGTTGGAGAAGGCAAGCCAATTACTGAATTAACCCCTTTTTCTGTAGACAATGTGTGAAGCCATATGCTAAGCAAACAGGCTGGATTTGCATCACAGGCAAATCACCCAGCTTGGTATGTTCCACCAGCCTGGTTAAAGGCGCTGTCTGTAATGGTATCTGGGAATGACCTCGGGAGATGGAGAAGAGCCACAGCCAGGGGAACTGTCGGAGAAGAGGCAGCTGAGCCTGCAGGAGGAGACGTGGCAAACGTCTCAAAAGGAACCCTCCTTAGTTTCTTGGTGTGTAAAGGCAAGGGGGGAGAGAGGTCCTTTCGGGTCCTTTAAAGATTTATGTCAGCCTTGTGAGGTAGTGCAGGCAGGAAGCAACCCCAGATGAGCTAATTCTATTTTATTGTAAGGTTGCGATAACAGAATCTTGCAAGTCTGAAGGGACATTTCTCCCCCGTCCCCTTTATAGCCCAAGAAACTAGGGAGGGTCCCTTCTGAGATGTTTACCAGGCCCACATTGCTTTTGTGGGCTAAGTTGCATTTTATCCAACCATCCCCCTGGCTGTGGCTCTTCCTCCTGTCTCCCAAGGTGATTCCCATAGACCATTATGCTGCATGAACACTGCTTGCCAACAAACTTGGTACAGCCTTAAATGCCCTTAATTATTCCCCAGGCTGGTATCTTCTGATCCTTCTGGGCGCCTAGCTGGACAACGTTTGTGGAGATCAGCTACTCTAGGCCTTCTTTCAGACAGATCTTCCCTAGTTCAGCAAGTGCCACAATGGGGGGCAGCTGGGACTATCCACCAGTGAAAGTCGCCTGGCTGCATTCGTGCAACTTGGTTTTACGTTGCCGCCTGAATCCAGCCTTCGTGGTGGCCCTTAGGCTCTTCCATCACATTTTGTAACGCAGTTCTCACTGGCTGCCTTGGGAAGATGGTTGACTGTTTTCTTTGAGACATCTTTAATTGGTTGGACATCAGGAAATATTGGCTAATGATAAGAGCTCTTTCCCAGGGGGTCAGACTCCCTCGAAAGATGGGGGCCTCTCCTTCATTGGATGCCCCTAAACAGACTTGGCCAGCATTTCCCGTGCGGTGAGAGGTGCTGTGTTCTTCGCTTGCAGGAACGTGACGGTTTTGGAAGCCTCACCGTCACTCGGGGGAGAGGGCGCGGCCGGGGAGACTGGAGCGTGGGCACGCCCGGGGGCATGCAGGAAATCACTTACACGGTGCCCGCTGATAAATGTGGCCTGGTGATTGGCAAAGGTGAGTCCCGGCGGGGATGTCAACATCTTCCTGGTGAACTGGCGAAAAAAGTTGGTTTCAGTCCTTGCAGCTTTAACCAAGGCAGGTGTTTGTCCCTCATTCAATCCATAGAGATTTCCTGATATTTAGAACCTCCTTCCTCAACTTCTCACTCTCCCGACTCCACAGCCATTCCCTAGTGGGTTTTACTTCTGGCTGGGCAACAGCCCTAGAGAGTTTTCCAGGAGTTTCCCGGGCGTCTGTTGCAGAGGTAGTAGCTGAACAGCCCCTGAATGGTGGCTAACGGTCTTCTTCCAGATCCAGGAGTGGGCAACGTAAGGGCCATCCCCAGCTCCTTTTTTGAGGTCTACAGAACTTCACAAAACCACGGTACAGAATTCAGACCCGGTAAATTACAGGCATATGCAAATTTAAAACTAACTGCTGTTAAGTTTTTGAGAGGCTTTATGTGTATCCAGTTTTTGAAACCCTGCCTCAAAACACACACACTGACACACAATCCAGAAAGAAAGGGAAGGATATTCCCACTCCATCTGATGGGAGCATCTCAGCTCCATCACCACCACCCCCATGATTATCAGGGACTGGAAAAAACGTGGGATAGTGGCGTCTAATTTCAGATGTGATCTTTAGCAGCAGGAAAAGTTCTCCATCCTTGTTTTCAAGCCCCCCCCCCCATCCTCTCTCCCTAAACTATCTGTCTTAGTTCCTTCCCACCTCCTCCACTTGAAAGTCAAGGCCTTACAATTTCTTGGAGACAGACATCAAGCTTAGAAGGATGAGGAACTTCTGTCAAAGCTCAGAAAAAAGGATCCAGTCCCAAAGATGATAGATAGCGTTTCTCTTCTAGGAAGTGATTCCCTAGGTGGAAACTAAATGCAGCGCAGATCAAAATGGGTGCCACCCAATCCCTGAAGGATAACATCTATTTTGAACGATAGGTACAACTTAGAACAAGCCTTCTCCTGTTGCTGTGGATGGTTCATGTGATTCTACGTCAACCGTAGAACTTGGAACCTATCTGGCACTGAAACAACCGTTGTCGTTGCAATGCCATGTGCCTGTGTCAGTGTCCCACTCGGCCTCCCATTCCACCATTCACAAGTTTCAAATCCTCCAAAGAGGGCTCCTCAAACACAGAGGAAGTGCAGTTGTTCAGTTTCCAGCTCGCTGATCTGTCGAGCGAGCACAGAAGTCTTTTCTGGGGTATGCGTAAGATATATATTCCCCAGATGCGTGGGGTTTTTTTGTCCTCATAGCAGGTGAGCTGTTCTTGAAAACAACTAGCAAATCACCTTCGGAGTTGTACTCCGAGGGACACGCTTGTTTCCCAAATGGTGTGGGGTGAGAGGCTTGAGAATGGCCATTCGCCGGTCAAGTGCTCCCTCTGCGTGCCAGGACTTGCAGACAGACTGCAGCCGCTTCGGGCCCAGGCGGGATTTCCATGATAAACCCAGCCATCTTGACAGCTAACGTGGCCAGCCGCCTCCTTGTCACAACTGCTTTTAGCCCAGTTTGATTAATTGCTTTACAATTTTGTGTCCAGCTGTGGGCCCCCCGCTCTGGCATTTTCTGTTCCCCGTCAGGTTGAAGAAAGGAAGACTCTTCTTGAATAGCTGTCTATAGACAAGCACCATGTGTTAAGCGGGTGACTGGCTTCGTGAAAGAGGGTGAATATTTTCTGGGACCGAGTGGTCTGATGTGGGCTAGTTCTCTTTCTTCGGTCCTCAAATCTTTTGCTAAATGAGAAGAACCTGCTCTGAAAACAGTGAGAGGTTGAAAATGATATTTCCTCCATTCTGATGTCTAGGGTGTGAGATGACTACTGTATTAAACTTTGATTCTCATCCAAGAATTTCTCCATTAGATCCAGCTGAAATCTGCTCTCCTGTAACCAAAGTCTCGGAAAGATAATCTTGATTTAGTCTTGGCAATGAACAAGGTTTCATTCTCTTACCTGAATGTCCTTAGGGGCTTGGAAGAGAACAATAATTTCTGTCCCAGCTTACTCTACAGGTAGTCCTTGACTTACAACCACAATAGGGACTGGAATGTTCATCATTAAGCAAGGCATCATGTGACCACACCCAATTTTATGACTTCTTTTGCAGTGGCCATTAAACAAATTACAATGGTCGTTAAGTGAATCACAATGGTTGTCAAGTGAATCACATGGTTGTTAAGTAAATCACATGATTCTCCATTGATTTTGCTTGCTGGAAGCCGGCTGGGAAAGTTGCAAATAGCGATCGCGTGACCCCAGGATGCTGCAATCCTTGTAAATACATGTTGGTTGCCAAGTTGAATTTCGATCATGTAACTGCGGAGATGCTGCAACAGTCATAAATGTGAGGACCAGTCACAAGTCACTTTTTTCAGTGCCATCGTAACTTCAAATGGTCGCTAAATGAATGGTCATAAATCAAGGACTACCTGTACTCCAGTTTAAATCTACACATAAAAGGAGTTAGGATTATACTAAACCCTCTACTTAGATTCACAAATCACAGTGACTCTGGGCATCACCTGCTGTGCCGCGTAGTGGCCTGATTCACCAAAATACTGCAGTTCTGCAAGAGGCAGAATACCAGTTACACACACACACACGCCCATAAGCAACAAGTTTGTATATTCAGGGTGTGTTTAAGTAAACAAAATCCAGCAGCACGTCAAGCTCCTGCTGCTGCTGCTGCTGCCTTGGAAGTCGTCCGAGCGATAACAAGCCCCACATTTCAGGGCTTTTGAAAATGAGCCATCACTGCGACCTTTGAGACGGGCAAGGGCGTAGAAATGCAGGCTTTCTGCAACAAGGAGCAGGCTGGGAAGGGTTTGGGCACTGCTCGCCTTGCACCAACCTGTTGGTGGAGGGGGTGCCCGGCGAGAGCAAGCGTACTCAGATGCTGAACTAATTGGTTCTCTCCCCATTTGCTGCCTTCACCCCTTTGGCTTTCGTTTCGGCTGGTCACCCTGCGCAGAGTGAGGGCCATGCATATCGTCCCTCCCCGCCCTCTTTGTCCTTGTCGGAGCAAGGCGACCCTCCACTCTTGCGTGAAGCTCCAGCAGAAGAATTGAGTCATTGTAGTCATAGAGGAATCCTTTGTTAAGCAAATTTCATTAAGAGACCGAGGCCGAGACCCTCCGGGTATATCTAAATGTCTTGCTCCCTTTGCTCTGCCGAAGGAAGCTAAATTTTCATTAGTCGTGCTCCACCCTCGTACAAGCCATTCCTTGTTTGGTTCTTTTCTCCCAGAGTTGGCAGCCGACGGCTTTCCACCAGCCCTTGCTAACACGGGAGAGATCTTTGGGGAATCAGTGGCAAAACTCTACGAGGCAGCGTGGCGGCCTTTGACGACAAATGCTTGCAATGAGTTGCAGGGACATGCAGCTTTGCAGGACGTTTTAGGGCTCAAGCATGATTTTGCTTCTTTGCACTTGTTGGGAGATGACCCTTAAAGGGCTGACATTTGGAAGATGCTCCTGCAAGGAGAGCGTTTTATATGGCTGGGAGCTTAGTAAAGCAATCCATTTTAGAGGGTTTGAACAAGAGGTTAAACTTTAGCTAACCAAACTGGCTGGGGTTCGTGCAACCCCCCAAGCCACAGACAGACCCAGTCAGGTTTATTCATTATCAAGTTTAGTGGCTTGAGTGAATGCCATTGCTAGGGTCAGGGTGGGGTGGTTAACTTTTATTAATAGAATAAAAGAGGCATAATGTTAACCAGACCTCCAAAATCCCAGCGTGGCCAGGTACAAGAATCTCCTTTAGGAATATAAGGAATGTCTTGCTAGATCAGACCACGATAGTCTGTTTATTGACCTGCTTGCTTTCTATCCCGCTTTTGCTGCAAGAACTCAGGGTGGCTTGACATGGGGATCTCAGTCCATTTCGTCCCCATAAAGCAGTCATGTGGCTTAAGGAGCGACTGTACTCAAGTCACCCATGCTGGCTGGGGGATTCTGGGAGTTGAAGGCCACAGGTCTTCAAGTGGCTGAGATTGAGAAACACTGCTCTGCCTCACCACTCTATGGGTATCCCATAGTAGGATAAGAGCACCAATCTTAAATGGGATTAAGAGTTGTGCTGTCTCTAAGTAGCCCATGAGGGTGTCTATGAAAAGTGGGTGCTGGTAGCAGTCATCCTTGGTAGATGCGTGTCTTGGAAATATAGGAGTCTGCCATGACAGTTCTTGGCTGTGTCATGCATGTGGGATGAGGACATTCAGCCTGCCGGGCCAAAGATCTCACCGAACATCTCCCTCGCCCTTGTCCTGCTGCAGGAGGTGAGAACATCAAGAGCATAAATCAGCAATCAGGGGCTCACGTGGAACTTCAGCGAAATCCCCCTCCCAACACGGACCCTAACATTCGGATATTCACCATACGGGGAGTTCCCCAGCAGATTGAGCTGGCAAGACATCTGATTGATGAAAAAGTTGGAGTAAGTGGAGTTCTTTCTCCTTTCGTTGTCTCATGCCATCTTGCTAATTCCAGGGTGAGCAATGAGCCTTGGCAAAATTACAGCCCCCCAAACCACCTACCTCTAGCTAAGCCCACCTCCCTTCTTTCAAAACCCATCAGGGGGTTACCCAAAGATGTGAGATTGGGGGAGGGGGGAGTTCCATTGCAGGATGCTGGAAAGCATAGAAAACTCCCATAGGTTGTCCTGTGAACCATGTTTACTCCTAGGCCAACGAGTATGGTTCTAATTAACATATTCATCCCCATATCCATAATGGGGGTGTATTATTTAAAGCGAGAGAGGGAGAGCCGGGGGAAAACCCAGCTGGTCAGTTTCTTTTAGAACCTTCACCTGAAAAGCAAACGGTACCATTTTGAAACGGCCAAGAAACACCTAGCTGATGTCCATCTTAAGACTCATCCTACCATTTTTGTATCTTTCCCACTGCAGAATGGTGGGAAAAGACTATGAATTTTCAGCAGTCTTTAACTGGAGAAGGCTCTGGGTCCATAGCTGACCGTCCCTCCCTTTTACCCTGGGTTTCACAGAGTCGTCACAGACCCTGAGCGTCCCTCTGCTTTCAGCGTCACCTTGTAATTCAAACAGGGAGTGTTTAATAGTCCCTAATTAAATATTTTCCAGGGCACCAGCCTGGGTGTATCCGGAGGATTCAGCCAGAGTCCTTTCAGCCAGCCACCTGCGACAACTCATCAAAAGTAAGATTTTTTTTCCAGCGTGACCGGTGCTCGCAACCAGAGTCCAGGTCCTTAATGTCGCATCGTTCTCGATGCTTTGTAGATGCACACAAAGGCTGTTCCCTGCCTTTGAAACCTGGGCCTGGAAGTCTTTTGCTTCTCAAGGTCAGAATCAGCGGAGGCCAGTGCTCAAAGGTGGGGTGGGAGACAGAGGCGACAGCACCCAACAGACAAGAGTCAAGCCTTCCTTGGCATCCAGGAATTCTCCTTTCCCGGTTTCCACATCGTTAGGTAATGGTTAGTTCTCAGACAGAGGAAGATTCAAGCAACAGTTATACTAACAGCCACCTGCAAGATCTTAGGTGATTGATGAAAAGACGTGCCGTGTTGCTGGTTCCCGCAAGGCTGTTAGAAAGGTGATTAAAAAATATCTGCCCTCTGAGGTACTTGGGGAGGCATTGATTTTTAGGTGGCCAAAGGTTCAGCGGCTGGAATTCTTGCCATCTGCTCAGTAAACCTTGCAAAGGAGACCCTGCAAGAACTCCGCTTGGAAAATTGCTGTCCTTCCATCCAGGCAGAAGTTGTAACGCCTAACAGGTCCTCCCCGTCTCCTCGCAAGAGCAGAGGCAGGCGGAATAGAGCACATTTGAATAAAGAGGAAGGACTCTGCGTGTGCCAGTAACGGGATCTTGTCATCCACAGCGGTCCTCAGGCGTTCATGACCCAAGGCTGGGGCAGTACCTACCAGACGTGGCAGCAACCCGGGCAGCAGGTCCCAAGTAAGTGTCTCCCTGTCCTAGAATTGTTTTGGGGGAGGGTATAGGAGTGCAGTCTAGAGGGTCTCAGTCAAAGTATCTCAGGGACCCGCCTGTTCAGCCATGGAATGTTTTCAGCTGCGGTGTTTTGCTCGCGAGCAGAAGTGAGTGGGAACTGTGCCCCCAAGCAAACCCCAGCGAGGCTGCACCATCAGGGCGGCCAGAGCTGGGCTGGTTGTTCTCGGCCATCAGACGTGGCTGATTCTCCCTGAAAATATTGGTGTGGCCGGTTTGACATTTTTCTTTTTTTTGTATAATTTTTATTAAAGAATTGTTTTAGAGAGTTAAAAGATAAACATGCAACAATATAGGAAAAAAGGGGAAAGGGGAAAGAAAGGAAAGGGAAAGGGAAAGGGAAAGGGAAAGGAAAGGAAAGGAAAGGAAAGGAAAGGAAAGGAAAGGAAAGGAAAGGAAAGGAAAGGAAAGGAAAAAGATACTTAAAGAAGTGACTTCTGATCTTCTTTACAGCAGCTATAGACGTACTTGAAATCATTTCCCCCCTTCAGAATTGCATACAGGGGTTCCCTTCTCCCATATTCAACCCTTTTTAATCGTTAAATCCGGAAATCACCAGTTCGTTTTTACCCATTTTCAGCCAAAAGTCCATAAAGGGTCTGTTTGACATTTTTCAAGGGGGTCCTTTGCTTCTCCTGAGTTGCTTCAACCGCCTGAGGGGGGTCCTGCTCCCCTAACAAGTTTGCTTTCTGCTTTGCTAGACCTCTCTGTGCCGCCGCCTCCTCCTCCTCCTCTTTTGGCCTGTCCGGGTGTGGGAAAGGAAGGAGGGCGAGGTAGCACAGGCAGACCGAGAAATTCCTCTTTCAGACTGCCTGCAGTTTAAATAATGTCCTATTCCGGTTTCTGCTACGGAAATGTATTTATGAAGCTGCTGTTCTGGATGGGCTTTTCTGGGGACAAATTGCCCTGGATTTCATGAGGGTTTTTACTCCTGAGTACATGGCTGTAGCTTTGCATGGCTCCTAGAATTTTGGGACTACGAAGCCCAGCACGAGGCAAGGACGGTTTCAGTTAGGGCTTGATGTTGGCTTGATGCCAGCTGCAGCTCCGTCCTACCCAGCGATTGTCCCCAGCTTGCAGCTCGAGGATTGGAGCTCTTCGTCTCCTGAAGCCTTCTGATCTTCAGCCCAGTGGCAGGGAACGTTCTCGGCGCCTTTCTGGTTCTGTTCCCCATCCTTATCGTGGCGCACGGAACGGCGGATTTCTGTCCAAAAGGTTTTGACCTTTCTGGTGGTTGAACTTTGAGGTAGCCGTGAGCAAAATGCAAATCTTGGGAGTGACTTGTGAATGAGCTGCGATGGGGGCGCGTCTGTCGTTCAGGCTAACCAACCTCTGCATAGTGGACAATTTGTGCCGTACATTGTCTTGAATCCGTGCCCTTTGTGTGTTCTCCCAGAGATCTGGTGACCTAGAGGGACAGATGCCTTAACCCTCAACCCTTTGATGTCCCTCTCAGTTACATACACAAGCAAGCCCCTCGGCCTTACTTGTAACCCGTGCCTAATCTCTCCATCCCCCGGAGCTATCCAGCTCGGTGGATTTCAATTCCCAGAAGCCCCCAGCCAGTGTTTGGCTCCTAGCGAGCATTCTGGGAGCGGGTGCCCATGCATTTGGAAGATGCTGAGATTGAGGAAGGCCGGGTAGGAACTTTCTTCAGAAGCTGCTCAGGGGATACGGGGTTCCCTTTTTCAGTTTGTGTGCGTCTGGATGTAGAATTGTAGCTTTAGAATCGAATCGTGCTACTCCTTGTTGGAGAGGCTCCCCCGTCTGAGAAATTCAGCTTAAAAACACCGACTGATGACTTTAGGAAAAGCAGACACGCTGCCTCTTGCTGGGAAATCTCACCCAGCCTCCTCCTTTAGAGAGAAAGCAGGCCACGTGGTGGCAATGCCAGCCCCCAGTCCTGGGGACCTCTGCAACAGCCACTGTGGTCTTTCCTGCCTTTGACCCCGATGTTGCAGCCACGGCAGCGCCTATGGGAGGAGCGGGAGGCTAGGGGTTCAGCTGCACTCCAAGGGAACTTCCCTGCTTCTTCTTCCCCTTGCAGATCACAATGGCACCCAGTCAGGCCAGGTGGAATTCACCAAAGCATGGGAGGATTATTTTAAGAAACTAGGTAAATCAGCGGTTCCTCATGCTTTTCGTTGCTTGCTTGCATTATTTATTCGTTTATTTTTTTCATCTTCAAAGCAGCCGCACCACTTAGTAGCCGGGGTGCTGCTTCTGATCACTGGGGGGCAGGGGGAGGATTTGTCTTCCAGTCCAAGCAGACTGAGAAAGGCAACCTAGGTCCTCCTCCAAAGGTGATCTGTCTTTACTTAAAGCCAAGATTCCCCCCAAACCCATCCTTTTTTTGGTTTGTTTGTTTGTTTTGCAAGAGTGATGTCAGCCTCGTGGGATAAACCAGATAGGAATCACAACCAAATGAGCTAATTCTACTTTATTGTAAAGCTACATTGAGTGAATCATGTACAGCCCGAGAAACTAGGGAGGGTCCCTTCTGAGCCTCTTGCCCCACCCACTATCCAGCTGAGGGCTATGCTGTCTCTTATCTAACCATTCCCTTGGCAGCGTCTCTTTGTCCAGTCCCCCAAGGCCTTTCCCGCATACCATTACATCGCCCCCTCTTCCTCCCTGAAACTAAGTAGAGGTTTTCCTAACCATTCTTGCATTCCTCCTTCAAAGTTATCCCCGTATTCCTCTACAAGTGGGAACGGATGAACCAGGGGGCTAGTTTGGTGTAAAGAAGAACAGTACAAGGACTGTGCCTGTTAAAGATATTCATATTCAACCTTTCAAGGCCATACCCTTGCCAGGGAGGAGCCAGTAGTATGGAGACCGTGTCAAATTTAGCGCTGAGACAGGTTCCTGGAAATCTGCTCCCATCCAAAATAATGTTGGGGTTGAAGGTAGAGTCTGGCACCTTGTTGTGTTCCAGGAAATCAATAAGCCACTTTTCCCCAAAGGGTGAGGTCACCTCAACGAAGTTGCAGGAAATACATTTAACTAGGTTAAGACCCAAACCCAGGCTTCTAGTTCTCTTCATTACAAAGACGCACCTACTAAGCCAGCGTTCTCCCCTGTCTGATGCTGGTTGAGGGTGGGAAGTTGAAGTTTGAAGCTGGCTGTGATTGTTAAGGAAGGTTTGGATGGAGCTGGTCCCTTGTGAGACCTCCGAAGTCACAGGTCGGAGCTAACTAAGAGTTCCCCTGCCTCTTCCCCTTGGTTAGAGCAGCCCCAGATTAAACCATACGAAGCAGATACTTGTAGCTGTCCAAAATAGAGGGATGCTACGTGAGGCTGTCTTCATCCTGGCGATTCAAGCTCCCCTTTTTCTACTTTCGAGCCATTTCGGCAACGTCATCCTCGTTTGAGGACTTCTCCCCTCCAGCCATCCCAGAACCTCAAACGCTGTGTTTGCATCGCAGCATGGGGAACTCCAGAGCCGCCTCTTCCTTTCATTCTTTGCGGAAGGAGGGTTAGTTTCTCTTCCTTCCACACCCCCCACACCCCCACTTTGAATTTGAATTGCTTCCTTACCTTGGATAAATGAGCCTATTGGGGCTGCAAAACTTGAGACGCGGGTTTTTCAGCCAGCTCTTGAGAAAGAAAAGCATTGAATGGAGCTCCTGGTTGGGTTGGGGGGCATTGTCCAGCTGGCCCTGACCAGTGCAGTCCTGGTTCCTGCCTTCTCGCTTGGGTGAAATTCTTTGAACTGTACAAGATACAAGATTCTCCTTCCTCCCTTCTCCAAATTAGCCCCATTGTCTTTTTCCCCCCATTTCCCTGCCTGCTTCCTTCATGTTTGTGGATGGTTTTCAATCAAATCAAATAATAACATAAAATAAAATACCAAAGTCCTCCTTTGCAGCAAGAAATAAAATACCAAAAATCCTTCTTTACAGCAAGAAATAAAACGAAATGAAATGAAATACCAAAGTCCTTCTTTACAGCAAGAAGTAAAATGAAATGAAATACCAAAGTCCTCCTTTGCAGCAAAAAATGAAATGAAATGAAATGAAATACCAAAGTCCTTTTTTACAGCAAGAAATAAAACAAATAAATAAAATAAAATAAAATAAAATACTAAAATCCTCCTTTGCAGCAAGAAATAAAATAAAATATCAGAATCCTCCTTTGCAGCAAGGTTGGTGGGACAGAAGTGACCAGAAGGTGTGCTTCCTTCACACTTTGTTTTTTCAATCCCTACCTCATTTTGCATCTACTCCATCATGTTTTCATTGCAATCCTGCATTTTAGTTTTTCCTGCTTCTTGCATGTCTGTTCTTTGGCTTCCACCTCGAGTGGGTGTGAGAAAGCGATCTGGGCTTAGAACACAAGCAGCTTTAATATTCCAGCAAGTGCATTTTGTAAAACAGAACAAAACTTTAAGCACTTGAAGGGACACCCAGTGACTTCAACCACGACGGGAGGGCTGGTCTTGCTTCTTCTCCCATGCTCTGCAAATAAGTTTTTTTCAAAAATGCAAAAAATGAAAAACGAGCACCAGAGCAATGAGATCGACCAGCTTAAAACCAAGCAGAATAGTCTTCCAGTTCAGTCAGTCGCTGGTTTAACCCTAAGCTGAGGTGGAATTCTACCAGACCTTTGTGCTAAATGTGAAAAATTCTGCCCAACGTTCTCCAAAAGGGAAAGCGGGGACGGGCAGGGGGCAGCAGTCCCACGGGTCGGGCTAGGCTCCATGTCCCATCCGCTCTAGCTGGTATGACTAATGGCAACAGATGACATGGGGCTATGGTTCCATCTGTTGCAAGGTTCGAGGAAGGACGTGAACAAGCCACCCGTCGTTAAATAAAGGCAGAATAAGCAAAATCAGGTGGCTTGCCCTGTTTCGCTCTTTTCTCCTAAAGCTGCTGTTGCTGTTACTCTTATTTTAAAGAAGGAAGTTGCCTTGTTGTAGCGCAGAAATGCCAACCTCACTTTGATTCCCGAGAATGCCTTCGGAGGCCGCAAAGGCCTTGCGGGTTGTCTTAGAAAATAGCAAAGACGGTTAGCAGCTGTCTAACGCTAAATAAGGGTCGTTTGGGGGGTGTTTCATGGCTGCCCACGGCTCTCTAAATTGCACCACCGGACCACAACTGTTCTCTATCCCTGTGAGAAGGCGCAAATCTTCCCCTGTCGGGGTACCCTCCAGGAAGGTGAGCTTCAACACCCAGAATTCCCAGTGCTGGCTGAGGAATTCTGGGAATCCACCCATCTGGATGGTTGGATCCACAGTGGGTGGATCCTGGGTGGGTAGGCGGGAGGATCCAGGCTGGGGAAGACTGTTATAGCTGTCATGGTGTCTGGAAGGGCTGAGTGTTGTACAGTGATGAATCAGGACTCAGAAGAAATGCTTTGCTTTCCAAAGCACCCTGTGTGGGAGAAGAGGAGGCAGGAACTACTCTTGGAAATAGGCAGGTCCAACTCCTTGTCGGTGCACAGAGCTGGTCCCCGTATTGTCCTTTCAGTGCGCAGCATCTGCCAGTATCTCTTTCCTCAAGGAGCAACTGTGAACTTGAGGGTAAAGCAGACATGGGAGGACCTGAAGGGTTAGAACGTGGCTAGAACAGCAAGATAAAATGGGGAATAGTCAGCCCTGGGAGTGTCGAAACCAGGTTCTGGCTTTGCTTAACGTTTTCTCTCCCTCCGGTGCCTGAAGGGTGAGGGACCTCCGATCTTCTTCTGAAGAACCAATTCATGAGCATCTCTAAGGGGTTTAGACCCAGAGAGTGTGTCCCGTTCTCTTTCCGGACCCCTCAAACGTCTTCTTTTTCTTTACTTGCTTTCCATTGTGCAGGTCAGCAAAGCCAGCAGCAGAACAGCCAGCCGGATTACAGCAAGGCATGGGAAGACTACTACAAGAAGCAGAGTGAGTAGACTGGTGGTTGGGGCAACCACCTGTCCACGGAGGGATTGGGCTGAAGGGTCTGTAATCACAACTCCGTTACATGTGCAGAAAAAAAAATCCAAGTTGTAGCATTCAGAATAAAATAGCTGATACAGAGGGCAGGGCCAGTTAGCAAGCACCATCACCCCTTCTGCCCTCCCAGGATGCTCCTACCCGTTCCATCTTCCCATTGTCTTGTTTTCCTGGCATGCTTGTCAAGCAAGCTGGGACTTGTGCCCTCCCCACCTTTTGATGGCTTCTGCGGGAGGAAAGGCAGTGCTTTGAGTCTCAAAGTGTTGCTGTGCAGCAGTTGGATTTCCCAGGCTGCTGTTAGTTAGTCAAAACAGCCTTTCGAAAAAGCTGGAGAGATAAGTACACCAGCACCATATTGGTGCCTGTAATGGTATGTGGGAAAGACCTTGGGAGATGGGGCAAAGAGACGCTGCAAAGGGAACAGCCAGATAAGAGACGGCATAGCCCTCAGCTGGATAGCGGGCAGGGCAAGAGGCTCAGAAGAGACCGTCCCTAATTTCTCAGGGGTAAAATAGATGGGAGGAGAATTGTCCTTTCAGATTTTCAAGATTCCGTTAATATAACCTTACAATAAACTAGAATTAGCTGATCTGGTCGTGTTTCCTGTCTGGTCTGCCTGGTAAGGCTGACACATACCTAAACTGGTCGAGCCTAACATCCAGAATGGCGCTCGCGGAAGGGTGGTGTCGCTCCCTGGGCTGAGCTCTGACCAAAGGCTGAGCATGAAGCACAAATCCCATTGGTGCAAGTTATAAGGAAGGGGGGGTGACCACCTCCCAGCTTCCTCGCCGGCATCCCCTTTATCTCGGTTCTCTCTTCGCCTTCTTCTTCCCCTCCAGGTCACGCTGCTACGGCTGTTTCTCAAGCCAGCAGCCAGCCAGATTACACAATGGCGTGGGCAGAGTATTATCGGCAGCAGGCAGCCTATTACGGGCAAACGTTAGGGCAGGCTCAAGCTCACAGCCAGGTGGGTGTTTCTCTCCCGCACGGTCCCCCTCTTTGAGCCCACTTGGCAGCTGATCGTTTCTCTGTAGGCCCTGTGAATTAAAAGACCAAGCCGTGAATCACTGACGACCCACCAGCGAGCCTGAAAAAAGAGGGGCTTAATTCAGCGGTTCTTCGAGGCAGAATAGGTGGCCCTGCAGGGCAGTGGAAGCCCTCGAGGCGTGCTGACCGGCGCGTGGGCTGGGTTGGACGTAACGCCAGCCCACCGACAACAGAACCGGTCGATAAAGTCAGGAACCGTCTAACAAAGAGGACACCAACTGTATCTTGAAGTGAAGTCCTGGACGAGAATTACAAAAGCAGTCCCTCCTCCAGAGCAATTAAAAGACGTAAAAGATATGCCGCTTCGGCAGTTATAACCCAGCAGCAAAATAGGGGTAGCTTACACAGAGTGAAAGCTGAATAAAAATGCCTTAAGTTAAAGCTAAACAAACCACACCATAGATGGATCGAGCGAGCGTTCGCCGTCTGTAAAAAGTTCACTCCCCGGTTGTCGGATGGAAATTCTCAATTTACCCCAGGCCTTTTCTAGGTTTGGGAAGACTTGTCAGTGACATAATTTGCGCTTCCAAATAACAGTTCGTTCGTTCGTTCATTCATTCATTCATTCATTCATTCATTCATTCATTTGATTTATGTAGCCGCCCACCTCCCTTTTACATGACTCTAGGCGGCTTACAATAAAATAAATAAAATACAGTTGCCAAGGCTGCCCCACTTCTGGGAAGTAAGGTGTCTGCTTTTCTCCCCTGCATTAAATTTGTGCTTCCAGTGTGTGTGCGAGAATTGCTCGCCCGCCTAGGAGTCCACCTGTTGCTTCTGTATGAGTCCCAGTTAAGTGATATGCACGCATTTTTTGAACCACGTGGAAGCAGACTTAGAGTAGTGACTTCTCCAGGGGTGAAAAACTCATTGGCATAATTCTTCTGCTTCTTGTTCCGAGTCTTTTGAGCAACTGGGCTCCCCTTGTGCAGAGGCCAAACTGAATGAATTCCTCATTTCCCATGAAGGTCAGAGAATGAGGCTAGAACGAGGATTCACTCAGAGATACAGCAGGCAGGCTCTTTGCTGAGAAGCTTTATTTGTCCTGACAAGTCCTCCTTGCTTATCCGAACACTTGGGAATTACTGGGCTGAATCAGCCAGGTTAGATTTCAAATTTGGGACCCCATGTGGAAGGTTGGGTCGGGTTGATCCAAATGTTCAGTTCCTTTCAGAGGGGCAAAGGGGGTGGCTGCCTGGGTGAAAGCTGGGCACCGAAGCCACCTCATTCAAAGGGGTGCCTGGATCAAATTGACACTGAACTTTTGAATGGCAGTTTGGGGTGGCATTTTGGTGCCAACATGGGCAAAATTGAGAGAGGTGAATCAAACTCATGAACTATGTTGAACATGATCTCAGTGTTAGCAGTTCCAGAGCCTTTAAGGAAACCATTCATGCTACGCCTAAATTTATCAGCCAGGATTGACCGTGGAAAGTAAACCAGGATTTGATTCCCATTGAAGCAAAGTATGCTGTTATTCGGTCAAACCAGCTTTTCCACTGTTGCCCAATAGTTTCCACGTCTGAATTTCTGATGCGGCAACCAATAGAACGGCCCTAACTTTTTATTAACTATTAATCGCTTGCTTAAGAAAACGAGAGCCGCGTCAGAGGCACAGAAGCTTAAAACAACTTGTAGGAGAACTGGATCTTTTGCAGCATGTAAAATCAAAAACGCAATTGGAATGAGGTCGGTCAAATCCAAACCAGCTTGGATAAGTTAGATAAAATATTGGAAAGTTACTGTGCCTGTCCGAGATAAAATGAGCGCTCAGATGTCCTAAATGTGTGGGAGAAGTTGCAGTGTTGGGTTCACCCAACCTACAAGGCTACGGTAAACTGGGGTTGGATCGTTAGTTCCTCATTCAACACATTGTGGGCCCCCAACTGTTGCTCAAAAGGGTCTCATTGACGTTCTTGAGCAAAGGTACCCCCTCGGTTGTAGGCAGGAAGGGGGCCTGGGGTGGGGCCGATGGGTCTTGTTGTCCCACCATCTGCAGGCTCAAGGAAGGATTGAAAACTTGTTGAACATTTTTAATTCTGTTTCCATCCACCCACCCACTTTTTTTTCTTTTTCTTTTTTTCAGGAGCAGTAGAACAACCGTTTTGATTCTTCTCTTCCTCCTTTTCTTTTTCTTGGAATCATTGTGGAAACAAACCTTTTTTGTAACAGAGGTTTCTAGATTTGCAACCGTTTGATGAAGACTTTGTTCCTTCCTTTCTTTCTTTCTTTCTTTCTTTCTTTCTTTCTTTCTTTCTTTCTTTCTTTCT